CCATACACATCCCATGAATCCTCCATAACAAAGGCAATTCTACTCACTAACCATCTTAATCCAAGACAATACCTAAATTTACATACCTTGAGGGTTAAAGCTTCAAATTCTTCACCTCCTTTATCACTCTTCTTCACCCTACCTTTCAACTCCCTCTCTAACCCAAGCTTTTCTCAAGTCAAAGTGTTGTTAGGGACATGATACATAATGCATAGAGATATATATATAAGATGTGAATAAGGACAAAATTGAATCAGTTTACACATTCCGAATTGAAATTTCACCAACATGCTTAATATTACCTAAAAATTATGCTGAGCTCAAATATAACATCAATTGCGGATTATCATACCTCTAAGGCTCCCAATTTCTGTTCCAAACATTTTAAACGCACAGATGTTTTTCCTTGTCCAACAGATAAGATCACACATTGTTTTCATCAAGCATTTAAAAGCATGAAATAAGGGACTTAAACATGGCAGAAGCACATGCGAGGGTCGGGTTATTACACTCTCCCCCCCTTAAATAAGTTTAGTCCCTCAAACTTGTTTTACCTCAGGATGGAAACAAATGCGAATACTGGTGTTGCATATCCTTCTCTTTTTCCCACGTTGCTTCGGTTCCGTAATGTTCTTGCCATTCGACCTTTACCCTTGGAATCTCTCGATTTCATAATTGCTTCACTTGTCGGTCCAGAATTCGAATTGGTTTCTCTTTATAAGTTAACTTGTCATCTAACACAATTTGGTGATAATTTATCACATGTGACGAGTATCCAGAATTCGAATTGGTTTCTCTTCATAAGTTAACTTGTCATCTAACACAATTTGGTGATAATCTATCACATGTGACGGGTTCGGAAGGTATCCTCGGAGCATAGAGACATGGAACACGTTATGGACTTGGCTCATATTTGGCAGAAGAGCAACTCGATAAGTTACTGGACCCACTCTCTCCAGAATCTGGAAGGGACCAACATATCGGGGTGTTAACTTACCCTTTTTCCCAAATCTCGGATGCCCTTTCATTGGGGCGACTTTCACGAACACATGACTACCCACGTCAAATTCCAAATCCCTTCGTCGGTTATCCGCGTAACTTTTCTGTCTGTTTTGGGCCGTTTTCAATCTTTCTCGGATACGTTGGACCTTCTCAGTTGTCAACTGCACAATTTCAGGCCCTAGCAATGCTCTATCTCCCACTTCGGTCCAACACACGAGGGAACGACACGGTCTTCCGTATAAAGCTTCATAAAGGGCCATTTCAATACTCGAATGATAGCTATTGTTGTATGTAAATTCTACCAACGGTAAGTGGGTTTCCCAACTTCCTTGGAAATCCAACACACACATACGGAGCATATCTTCCAGCGTTTGTATCGTTCTCTCGGACTGACCGTCAGTCTGAGGGTGGAAGGCTGTGCTAAATTTGAGTTCTGTACCCATAGCTTCTTGCAGACTTTGCCAGAATCTTGAAACAAATTTTGGATCCCGATCTGACACAATTGAAACTGGAATACCATGAAGCCTGACAATTTCATTTATATAAAGTACTGCGAGTTTATCTGCATTATATTGAGTCTTCACTAGTAGGAAGTGAGCAGACTTAGTTAATCCGTCCACAATCACCCATATAGAATTCATACCCCGAGGAGTCTGTGGTAACCCCACAACAAAATCCATAGTCAAGTGTTCCCACTTCCATTCCGGAATTGGAAGGGGTTGCAATAGCCCCGCTGGTCTCTGATGTTCTGCCTTTACTTGCTGACATTGTAGACATTTAGAAACGAACTCGTGCGGCAGTGATGCCCCGCACGTGCCTTTTAGACAGTGTTCAGCCCAAAATTTTGCCCCAAGTGCTGCACATGCGGCAGTGACTCCCACACGTGCGGCGATTCTGCCCAAAACCTGTCCGAAATTCTTCAAAAATCCAATTCTTTGGTAGTATCAACAAGGGTTAAAATGGATCTTTAAGTGCTTAAAATATGGTTCAAAAATCATGTGATTTAAGAGGTGGAACATATGTTAATCTCAACAAATCAAATCTTATCCGTTACATTCATAAGCATAACATAAACATGGAGAAGTGTAGAGCAAAAACATGGAGACTTGTATACACTAAGATCATCTAAGTCCATAATTGTGCATGATCATGTAGAGATAAGGAGTAGAATGAAATTAACCACTAAATCAAACTAACATCAACACAACTCTCAATTTATTCCATACACATCCCCTGAATCCTCCCTATCAAAGACAATTCTACTCACCAACCATCTTTATCCAAGACAATACCTAAATTTACATACCTTGAGGGTTAAAGCTTCAAATTCTTCACCTCCTTTATCACTCTTCTTCACCCTACCTTTCAACTCCCTCTCTAACCCAAGCTTTTCTCAAGTCAAAGTGTTGTTAGGGACATGATACATAATGCATAGAGATATATATATAAGATGTGAATAAGGACAAAATTGAATCAGTTTACACATTCCGAATTGAAATTTCACCAACATGCTTAATATTACCTAAAAATTATGCTGAGCTCAAATATAACATCAATTTCGAATTATCATACCTCTAAGTCTCCCAATTTCTGTTCCAAACATTTTAAATGCACAGATGTTTTTTTCCTTGTCCAACAGATAAGATCACAAATTGTTTTCATCAAGCATTTAAAAGCACGAAATAAGGGACTTAAACATGACAGAAGCACATGCGAGGGTCGGGTTATTACACTCTCCCCCCCTTAAATAAGTTTAGTCCCTCAAACTTGTTTTACCTCAGGACGGAAACAAATGCGAATACTGGTGTTGCATATCCTCCTCTTTTTCCCACGTTGCTTCGGTTCCGTAATGTTCTTGCCATTCGACCTTTACCCTTGGAATCTCTCGATTTCGTAATTGTTTCGCTTGTCGGTCCAGAATTCGAATTGGTTTCTCTTTATAAGTTAACTTGTCATCTAACACAATTTGGTGATAATTTATCACATGTGACGAGTCCGGAACGTATCCTCGGAGCATAAAGACATGGAACGCGTTATGGACTTGGCTCATATTTGGCGGAAGGGCAACTCGATAGGCTACCGGACCCACTCTCTCCAGAATCTGGAAGGGACCAACATATCGGGGTGTTAACTTACCATTTTTCCCAAATCTCGGATGCCCTTTCATTAGGGCGACTTTCACGAACACATGACTACCCACGTCAAATTCCAAATCCCTTCGTCGGTTATCCGCGTAACTTTTCTGTCTGCTTTGGGCCGTTTTCAATCTTTCGCAGATACGTTGGACCTTCTCAGTTGTCAATTGCACAATTTCAGGCCCTAGCAATGCTCTATCTCCCACTTCGGTCCAACACACGGGGGAACGACACGGTCTTCCGTATAAAGCTTCATAAAGGACCATTTCAATACTCGAATGATAGCTATTGTTGTATGTAAATTCTACCAACGGTAAGTGGGTTTCCCAACTTCCTTGGAAATCCAACACACACATCCGGAGCATATCTTCCAGCGTTTGTATCGTTCTCTCGGACTGACCGTCAGTCTGAAGGTGGAAGGCTGTGCTAAATTTGAGTTCTGTACCCATAGCTTCTTGCAGACTTTGCCAGAATCTTGAAATAAATCTTAGATCCCGATCTGACACAATTGAAACCGGAATACCATGAAGCCTGACAATTTCATTTATATAAAGTACTGCGAGTTTATCTGCATTATATTGAGTCTTCACTGGTAGGAAGTGAGCAGACTTAGTTAATCCGTCCACAATCACCCATATAGAATTCATACCCCGAGGAGTCTGCGGTAACCCCACAACAAAATCCATAGTCAAGTGTTCCCACTTCCATTCCGGAATTGGAAGGGGTTGCAATAGCCCCGCTGGTCTCTGATGTTCTGCCTTTACTTGCTGACATTGTAGACATTTAGAAACGAACTCGGCGATTTCCTTTTTCATACCTGGCCACCAAAAATTTTGCTTCAAATCTCGGTACATTTTGGTGCTTCCCGGATGCATTGCAAACTTCGAGGCATGTGCTTCTTCCATCAATTTTTGTTTAAGCTCCAACACATTGGGAATACATATTCAGTTTTGAAATTTGAGTACCGAATCTACTAAGTTGAACCCCGGTTTTGGTTTTGTCCTTAACGCATCACATATCTTCCTCAAAGTTTCATCCTCCATTTGATGTATCTTAATTTCTTTGAGTAAGGTTGGTCGAGCCATTACTGTTGCTATTACGGCCTCCTGTCAACGTATCATAAAATCAATATTCATTTTGTCCAAGTCAGTCACCAATTCCTTTTGCTCCGTAAATAGGTTTGCCAAACCTCCCATATTTTTCCGACTAAGTGCATCTACGACTGTGTTGGCTTTACCAAGATGGTAATGAATCTACAAATCATAGTCTTTAATCAATTCTAACCACCGCCGTTGTCGCATATTCAACTCTTTCTGAGTAAAAAGGTACTTGAGACTTTTGTGATCGGTATAGACTTCGCAAGTAGTGCCATACAGATAATGCCGCCATATCTTCAAAGCAAAAACTACTGCTGCAAGCTCAAGATCATGTGTGGGATAGTTCTTCTCATGGGGTTTAAGTTGACGTGAAGCATAAGCAATAACCCTTCCACTTTGCATAAGCACACACCCTAATCCTTTATGGGACGCATCACTGTAAATCACAAATCCTTCGGTACCAGACGGTAAGGCCAGAACTGGAGCTGTAGTTAATTTTGTTTTCAATTCCTGGAACGCAGATTCCTGCTCTTCTGACCATTCGAATACAACTCCCTTTCGAGTTAGCTGTGTAAGCGGCACAGCGATTTTAGAGAAATCTTGAACAAATCGCCTGTAATAACCGGCTAACCCCATAAAACTAGGCACCTCAGTCACATTGGTAGGAGTTGGCCAATTCACAATCGCCTCAATTTTGTGTGGATCAATAGAGATTCCGTCTTTTGTTATCACATGTCCTAGAAATGCTACCTCATGTAGCCAGAATTCACATTTCTTCAACTTTGCATACAACTTCTTTTCTCGAAGTGTTTGAAGGATCATGCGAAGATGGTTCTCGTGAGCTTCGACACTCCTCGAGTAAATAAGGATATCATCAATAAAGACCACCACAAACTCATCTAAATAAGGCTTAAAGACTCGGTTCATCAGATCCATAAATGCTGCTGGTGCGTTAGTGACTCCAAAGGGCATAACCAAAAATTCGTAATGGCCGTATCGAGTTCGAAAAGTTGTTTTCTCTACATCGTCAGCTTTAACTTTCAGTTGGTGGTATCCAGATCGTAAATCAATTTTTGAGAAGACTTGTGCCCCTTGGAGCTGGTCAAACAGATCATCGATCCGTGGCAGTGGGTACTTATTCTTGATTGTTACCTTGTTAAGTTCCCTGTAGTCGATACATAATCGGAGTGTTCCGTCTTTTTTCTTTACAAACAGAACTGGTGCACCCCAAGGAGACACACTCGAACGGATAAATCTCCTATCAAGCAAATCTTGTAACTGAATCTTTAATTCTTTCATTTCAACTGGTGACATCCTATACGGAGTCTTAGAAATAGGTTGAGTTCCCGGCACCACTTCAATTGTAAACTCAATCTCACGGTCTATTAACTGCCCCGGCAATTCTTCTGGAAAAACATCCGGAAATTCACAAATGACTGGAATCAGATCAGTACTTCCATTCATCACTTGCCCTTCCAAAACACTGCATAAAAACCCCTGACACCCTTTTTGAATTAGTTTACATGCCTTTGCTGCAAAAATCAAATATGGTGGTGAAGTCACTTCCTGTCCCTGAAAAATCGATTCTAGTTGTCCTGGAGAGTGGAAACTAATTTGCTTGTTCAGACAGTCTATGGTTGCACCATTTTCACTCAACCAGTCCATGCCCAGGATAACATCAAAATAGGTCAAGTCAAGAGGTAACAGGTTGGCATATACCTGGACATCTCCAATTTGGAGTTCACAAGCAAAATACACAGAAGCACAGATCATAGAGTCTCCCAAAGGTGAAGACACACGTAACACATATGACAAATTTTCCTCAAATTTATTTAAATTTTTCGCAAATAATTTTGACACAAAAGAATGAGTAGAGCCAAAATCAAACAGTACATGAGCAGAATAACCATGAACCATAAATGTACCTGACACCACTGCCGCAGCATTTTGCACATCTCCGGGAACTAGTGCAAATACTCTACCTTGCCTCGTAGTGTCTTTGTTGTTAGCAGGTTTTGTAGCTAACTTGGTATTGGAATTGGGTGCAGACCCTACTGAACTTGTAACAGCTTTGTTATTATTTTGTTGCTTGCCTTGAGGACAATCCCTTATCAGATGACCCATTTTACCACATCGGAAACATGCGCCAGACAGTCGGTGACAAACCCCACGATGCCTCCAACCACATTCTGGACATACAGGGGCTGACTCTTGAGTAGGAGTGGTTGTGCTGGAGATCCCTGAATTTTGCTTCTTAGTTGGCAGAGTAATTGTTCCCTTTGACCATTGAGTATTTTGCCTCTTCCCTTTCCATTCAGAAATTCGGTTTTGAGTCGCGAGGTTTCCTTCTGCTATAACAGCCCTCTCCAACACATCAACATAAGTGGGTAACTTTAGCATGTTAACCTTATCCAGTATAGCACTCCGTAATGCCCCTTCAAATTTGCGAGCCTTCTTGTAATCGGTGTCTACCATGTGAAGGGCAAATCGTGCTAGTTCTGCAAATTGAGCTTCATACTCAACAACGGTCTTGTTCCCTTGTCGAAGAGTCTCAAATTCGGTCACCTACTTATCGCGTATACTTTGGGGAAAGTACTTATCATAAAATAACTCCAAAAATCTGTCCCAGGCTAGTCCCGAGTAAGTAGTTCGCGTAAGCATCCACCATCTTCGTGCCTCGTCCTCCAGAGTGAAAGCAGCTAGTTGAACTTTCTGGGCTTCGGTGCAAGGGAAAACTTCGAATAATTTCTCTATGCCCAACACCTATGCCTCCGCTTTCATTGGTTCAATCCCTCCTTTGAATGACGGCGGTTTCATCTTTTTGAACTCCTTTGTAATGGTAATAGTTCGGACTTCAGCGTGGACATCTTGTACTACTGGTAGGGATACCGGTGGTGGTGGCGGTTGCTGTTGTGGTTGTTGTTGTTGTTGTTGTTGTTGCCGTAGAGTTTCTGCCATTTCCATAATCATTCTTTCCATCCTGTCCAACCTTGCAGAAGTAGCATCCTCCGGATCTTCTGCTCTAGTTCTCACCATAATCTACACAACAATCAATTATATACCATAGACATAATTCAAACATGTTAGCATTAGCAGAGTACGCTTAACGTTGCTATCGATCTTTCATGTACTTCCAAAATATCATGCATGATGCCTAAAGCTTGTCTAGACACCCTAAAGCTCAATGGTTCTGTGTGTGAGATAGCAACTCGTGCTCTGATACCACTTGTCACACCCCGAACCCGCCCCTAAAAGTTCAGGCATGACCTATGCAGACATGGGCATTAAACCTGATATACACAATATAGGGGCCTGAACGGAAGCGTAAAAAAAAAAAAAAAAACCATGACAGGAAACAAACTCCATTGAGCCATGACTATCATGCCAGGATCACAGACATCATCACAGATAATACTCTACCAAAACATGCCTCCGAGCATCGATTACATACATACATTCATACATACATACATACAGATCCAGCCCTAGGATTGGGCATAATCCATGTATTACAAGATGGATTTACAAGATGGATTTCCATGAACATATAAAATTATAGGGAAAATTATATAGAAAAAATTTTACAAGATAGATTTCCAAGATGGATTTCATCATAAAAATACAGAAATAAATTAGATTACATCATAAAATATATTACAAGATGGATTTCCATGAACATATAAAATTATAGGGAAAATTATACAAATAATCCATGTAGTTTACACGATGTGTCAATTTGGCCCCTATAGTTTCAATTTGCTCGATTTTGGCCCTTAATGTAACGGATTGTGTCATTTTAGTCCAATAAATAACGATTGTTAAGTTAATTTAACGGAAATTCAAATAATGTGTCAATTTGGTCCCTGTATTTTTCACAATGTATCAATTTAGTCCCTGTCAAAATCAAGAAAATTGAAACTACGTGGACCAAATTGACACATCGTGTAAAGTACAATGACCAAATTGACACATTGTTTGACATTCCGTTAAATTAACTTAACAACCGTTATTTATTAGACTAAAATGACACAATCTGTTGAATTAAGGAAAAAATCAAGCAAATTGAAATTACAGGGATCAAATTGACACTTCGTGTAAACTACAGGGACTATTTGCATAATTTACCCAAAATTATATATAAGAAATAGTTCAAATCTAAAAGTTCGAAGAACAAAAGATAAGAGATGCAAACTGAAGCCTGTGTGATATCACAATTTCCTTAAAGCAGATTCACCGCCTCCCAATAGATGCTAGCTGTATGCCAACGTCTGTTTCCCAAGATACGATGGTCGAAATCAGCTAATGCAGAAACACCTTTTGAATAGCTTCAACGAACTTGACAATGGTTGCACTCTCTCTAACAAGAACCAAAGAATGGGTTAGCAAAAGAAGATAGGGAAAATTTTCTTTGTTGTACAAAAAAAACATCTCCAACTTTTTATCTCCAAACACCATCTCTATTTTTCATCAAAAATCTCTCCAAAATTTTCCTACCAAGTTGGAGGAGAAATACCTCTATTTATACAAGTAGAGGAATCCTTAGCCATGAAGGCTATACATCAATTAACCAAGGCCGTCAACTCTCGCCATTAGGGCTAGAGTTACAAAGGTTGAAGACTTATGATTACTAATATGGTCATCAATTCCATCATCAAAAAATGAGAGTTACAAAAACTTATATTTCTTGTGCTTAATATATACAAATAAATATGTACATAATGATGTTTGAATAAACCGGCTAGATGGGTCACAAAATAGATACTAATGTTGGGTCACAACTCGATCCGAGACCAATTCTCAAACATATGTACAAACTAAGCCCAACACAGCATAGCTTAGCCCAAGCTCAAGATTAAGTTCAAGTCCAAGTCCAAGACCAAGATCAAACCCAACAACTGCACAAGCACAAACCTAGGCCCAGTCCAAACCAAGATTAAATCCAAATCTAAGCCCAACTTTATTGAAGCCCAACTTTATGAGACAATTCTCATTCACAACTCAATGGTTTAGACTCATTATTCTTATATTGTAATTTTCTCACTTACGAGAATAAAAAACCACTCAAACTCACCTCAACCGACGGTTGGGTCCAACTTTAATTTCAAATTAAAGTTGCCGAAAACCCTTTATCTCCAACAATCCTCCACATGAATAAAATTGGCCAAATAAAGAAAAAACGGACAATGCTAAACAACAAAGTCTCGAAGAGAGAGCACATTGAATAACCTTGCATTAGAAAAGGTAGTTGTCGGTTTAGCGTCGCAACCGGCCCAAACCCGCCCCTATAGGTTTAGCGTCGCAACCGGCCAGTAATCCTTGGATTACCAAAGGCCTCTTAATAGAATAACTTATGAGTAGGGGCTGCGGAAGCAAACATAGAAACATACATAGTCCAATAAGCTGTGGAGACATATATGGGACAAAATTTAAAACTTTACACACATATGTGTGACGTCATAAATACGTCAGTTTTACGTCACCTAAGCCATTTATACAAAACTTTCAAACACATGTTCAGACCAAACATAAACATTTAAGAGGCACAAAAGTCCCGAAACACAAAAACTTGAATAGATCTCAAAAGGAACCTCCACGGGAGACACGATGGCTAGTCAACACCAAAACTCAAGGCGGCAGCTTAGGCCTGGTCACACGCCTACTCACCTATATACATAATATAAATAATGAGCGAAAGCCCATTGAATAATAACAGAGTAAAAATTTTACTGAATGATGTCCATACAGAAACAAAATCTTATACGTGATCAGATGTCAAAACAGGAACAAAATCATATACGTAGTCATATTCGTATTCAAGCTCGTATAAATATACATATATCATATCATAGTACGTGGCACATCCATTAGAAAACAAATCTGATGACCCACAAGGGACTGCCGTGAAGGCTTTCTGATGACTCATGTGCACAGAGACGTTTCCAATGACCCATAAAGAACGACCATAAGGCATTCCGATGACCCATGAAAGGATGGCCATAAAGGCATTCTGATAACCCATGAAGGGACCTGATGACCCATAAGGGACACATATCATATGATGCTAAGGATGCCACGAATGCATGTCAGAATCTTGGACAATCATTCATTCATTTCAAACATAGCATAGTATTTCAGAAAACTAATCATTTTATATCATAATGTTCAGAAAATATTTAACATTGAACACAACTTTACAAAGTTATTACTTACAGATAACTGGTAGCTCCAAATAGACGGCAAAGTGGGCAATTCACCTAACCTAAGGCGCGTGACCTACATAACATGGTAGATTCATACATTGAAACACACACTCGGATTGTACATAACTTATTTCATTTGTTCTTAGTGTGTTTCTAGACTTTAACCTCATTATGGAGTCTTAATCATGGCCTAGGAATGCCTATGATGGAATGAGGATGCTAAAGTGCATATGAAACACTTGACAAAATTTTGCTGAAATAGGGGTCTCACTCGAGCGTAGCTTTCTTCGCTCGAGCGGCCATACCAAATGTAAGTGGTCGCTTGAGCACACACTCCTTCGCTTGAACGGTGTGCAAATTATGAAAAAGTTCTGGTTACGTGCAATTTCCGCTCTACAGTCGCTCGACGCTCGCTTGAGCGTGAGACTCAAGTCCTTGCTCGAGCGCAACTCTTGTCGCTTGAGCGGACTGCAAAACACACAAACTTCTGAGAGGATGCATTTTATGCTCGAGCCAACCTATGGTTACTCAAGCGGAAGTGTGAAAATAAAGGTGGTCGCTCAAGCGTAGAAACCTTCGCTCGAACGTGGAAGCAAAATTCTAGGTTTTCCAGATTTGTTTCCAAAGTTCAAAACTTGAATTCAACACTTCAAAACTCATCCTTTTGGGCCAAAATTCTAGAAAACATTTAGAAACTCACAAAACATCATGCTTTGAAGATCATTTCATGAAATCAAGGCCCAAAAGCATGCCAATTGTTCACAAATTCAACGTAAACTTTATGAATGTTCTTCAAACATGCCATACATGAAATGATTTGAGCTTCAAGTTTCCAAATCATGATCAAGGGAAATGAGAGGATGTAAAACATGATGAATTCCTACAACTAAGCTCAATTTATGACATGCATGAGAAAATTTCCTAGTAAACATGCTCCAAATATAATGAAATGTGCATGCATGTATGAATTGATCTTCCTTTCTACTTCTTAAGCTTAATTCTTACACCTCATAGCTCAATTCACTTGAATTCATGAATGAATCAACTCAACTTCAAGACTAAAGGCTTGGTTTCTTACCTAGAGTTCACAATTCCCTTAGATTCTAGCTAGGCTCAACAGCTATCACCAATTGCTTCCAATTCTTGATCACTCTTAGCAATTCTCTCCTTCCTTTCTTGAATTAAGCTCAAGCTTCTCCTTCTCCCTTTCTCTCACGTTTAGAGCTTAAAGGTGAGGAAAATGAGGTGCAAAATTAAACTAATAGGGTCATATATGGCTCATTTGGTGATAATTAATCAAAGTTAATCAAATGGCATCAAATTAATCTAATCTAATTACTCCGAACCGAATTTCAATTGGACCCACCATAATATTCCAAAAATTCCTAATAACACATAAATCAAGTCAATTTCTAAATCAGATGTCGATAAGGCCTTTAATTCGCAGAACAAAGCATAAACATAAACAGATCTTCCTATGACAACAGATATAAACACAAATAGGACAACATATGATGCAAAACTTCACTTAAATTAATTATTAGGCACAATTAAGCATGGAGTAACGTTAATCATAGGTCAGGGTTATTACATAAACCTTTCGTAGTAAAAGCCTATCAGATTTACTGACTGACCAATGAATAAGATGTCTTGAACTATTCTGCCATTTGTGTAAACCGAGACAATAGACCTCACACAGGAATTACTCCAACCATTGTTATGTTCTCACTGTTGTGTCCGATTTGGCCTTGGAACACTAGCCTGATTCAGTGAGTGTTTTTAAATAATTCGGCCTTGTCAATTCTTAAAGAAGCGACCCCACTTAGCACTCTCGTAGGTGACCTACATAAGGTATCTCGCTATACCACGGTTGACTACTCATAGCACTTAGGTCAAAAAAGCATCAACTTAACCTTCTACCCTACAAGGTATCACTATATAAAGGAATGGGCAAGATGATTTACCTCTTCAGTGATTCACCCGTTACACGTAATTAGGTTGTCCCTTCGAGTCTAGATCTTGGGATCTCCAATTAATTAGCTTGGGTTTTCCATTCCGGTTACATTCACTAAAGGCCTTAACCACATTCATCGTGACGACTTCTTACTAATTCTTGATTTTACCCTTAGGTTAATGGATCCATGATATTGTCCTTAGACTATATATAGTCTATAGTGACAACACACGAGAGTAGTCATCGTATGGAACTATGTCTTCAATGAAAAATGGCTAGACTTTCTATCTCTGCCCTACCAATACTTGATTGGTTGTCTCAAAGTATAGAAAATTGCTAGCATAAGATTTGATCAACATGGAATATCCTCAAGAAAACGCAAAGCCATTCAACTACTTTAGTACTAAATTTCGATTCCATCATTGATCTTGTGATACACATCTACTTGGAAGATCTCTTGTGATGCCCACTTTATGAGACAATTCTCATTTACAACTCAATGGTTTCGGCTCATTATTTTTGTATTGCAATTTTCTTACTTAAGAGAATATAAAACCACTCAGACCCACTTCAATCGGCAATTAGGTCTCATTTTAATTTCAAATTAAAGTTGCAGAAAATCCATTATCTCTAACAATTCAGAACTAAGGGGGGAGAAAGAGAGAGAGAGCGACAGGCAAAACGTCAGAGGCGGTGGTGAAGAGATGGTGGTGGCTCAAGTCAAATCGGATGAAAGAGGAGATGGGGAGAGAGAAAGAGAGAGAACTGACGATGTAATGGCCTTTTTTGGGAGCGAATGTGTCGTCGAGCTTCGACAATTTGCCTCCGTAGCAGTGTTGTGTGGTAGTGATGGTGTGGCAGCTACATAGATGGATATGTGTCGATCTACACATATGAGCGATATTGAGATAGAGAGAGAGACGAGTGGAACGTCAAAGGCATCAGTAGAGAGGTAGCGGCGGCAGAGCCGCCATGGGTGACCTTCGAGTTAACCAGGCTACAAATCAGAGAAAGGAGAAAGAGAGAGAGAGAGAGAGAGAGAGAGAGAAAACTTTGGATTTTTAGCGTATAAAATGAAAGGTTTGTCTCCATATAAGGCATATATATAGTTAGGTAATTTGATCATTTTATCAAAGTTTATTCTTATAGACAAACTATTTTAGCACTTATACTTCTGATCAAACAAAATCTAATTTTAAATTTATGAACTAAGTAACCAAATAAAAATGGGTTTGATTCATTAATTTTTAAAGTTACAAATGCTAAAGTAGAAAGGCAGAGTTCTTTTTCCTTTTCCTAACTTTCGAGTTTCATTAGTTGGAGAGTCCACTTTACTCTTGCTTTTTATTATCAAAATAAAATTAAAATTTTGCACACCTCATTAGATGGATTTCATATAGAAAAATGTTAGGGATCGTAAATATTTTATCAAATATTTTACTAAATGCCTCACATGGGTATAGGACTCATACTATGTGGGTCTCATATGGGTTTCGCACCCATGTGAGACATTTGGTAGAATATGAGTAATGTTAGGGAAAATTCTATTTCCACACACTAAGTTTCCTTACTCCACACACTTAATGAATTTTTTTAGAATCACAATTTTATCCTTTAACAAAATTATTATCTCACCCACCACCATCTCACCTACACATCTCACCCACCACCATCTCACTAGCCAGTTCATCGCCTCCCATACCCAAACCTCAACCATACACAGCTTTATGAACCCCACAAATTTTTATTTATTTTTTTATTTTCAGGGGAATATAATTGCGGCAATCCATGTCATACAATAACAAAACAGCATCTTAAGTCTTCTTGTGAGTCCCTCATCATCAACAAAGAAAATTCGAGTTCAATTAGGTGCTCTGAAGCCAAACAAACACTAAAGAAATGCAAAGAAATCTTCAAAACTCAAACATAGACCCAAAAATGCACAAAAGACACTAAGCATGAGAAAACATATCAATGAAGTAAAAATTTAAAATTTTTCATATTTAAATCATCAATAGCAAGAAAAACGAGAGTAATACCCCATTCTTCGCCTCTACAGTATGCTCATCATCGATATAACAACACAATCCAAGAATATTGTAATACTCTGAACAAAAAGGACAAGGAAACTCCTTCCTTGTATCATCATCTCCATCAATTTCTTCAAACCCCATGAACATATCTATACACAAGGCAAAGCAATCCCATTTCAATGAATTCAATAAACATTGCAGACAAATAACAAAGGGATTAGAGATTGAAGAATTTGGAGCTGACCAGATCGAGATTGAAGGGCTGATTTATAGCTTTTTGATGCAGAAGAGAGACGAGCACTGCGATGATCACGATGGAGGTGACGGTAGCGTGAGAGGCTGTGTGAGAATGGCTGAGAGACTGGGAAGGAGCGGTGGTTGATGTCGTCGCTGCTGCCGTCGCCAGTAGCTGGTGTAGTTACGGTTAAGGTTTTTGGAGTGAAAAATGATAGAAGGAGAGGATGTGCACAGAGAAGGTGAGGGTATATTTGGAATATGAAGTGTGTGGACTGAGATAAAGTAGTAAAAATTAAATTACTAAATGTGTGGATTGAGAAAAGATGTACACAGAGATAATTTGGTGTGTGGAAATAGAATTTCTCTAATGTTAGGGATACCAAATGTTCTACCAAATGTCTCACATACCATGTGTAACATTTGATAAAACATTTGGTAGAAATTTTGGAGCCTCTAACATTTTCCTATAAATATATACACTAGTTAAAAAAAACCTGTCCAAGGCATGAGTTATTGTTATGGTATATTTAAGTTTTGTATTTTGATAATTTTTTAAAAATAAGAATATTGTTCTGTGAAATTAAATAGAATAAATCATTAAATATATGATAGAATTATATAAATTGTATTATAAATAATAGAAATTAGAAAGAAAAAAAATATAATAAGTTTGACAATTTTAACATAATTATACTTTTTCTTTTTTTCAATAAGATTAAAATTTTAAGAGAGTCCGATATAACTATCTCAAATTTGTATAAGTTAATATATTTTTAACACTCAAGTGTTTGTTCACGACCACTTGTACTATTGTTTAAATCCATATCAACTTCAAATAGTCACCAAACTAATTATTCAGTAATTTTTTATTTTATATAAGTGTTTTTTGGGTTAGTTCATTTTGTTATTTAATACTTATTCGATGTAGTGAGTTTCATCAGTATTGTTCAATTCATTGAAATAAAAGTGGAATGGAATGATCAATTAAAATGTTAATTCTCACATATGATGAAAAATGTATTTAAAATGGATTCTTATTCACTATTATAAGGACATGGTCATTCTATCGAATGACTATTGAATGATCATTCAACTTTCATTAATTGCGACTTAAGATTTTGAAACTTACATGTCACCCTTTGAAATTTTTAATCACATAACAAATGACTTATTTCATTAATTAACCAATAAGTCAATTAATAATTTTCAATGATGTCATAGATATATTTTAATTAACAGTTCTAATGAGTAATTAGGAGTTTTATTTTTTCTGTTAAGTTTTGTAATTTGTTACATGCTTAATGATGTGAAACCCAACTCTCTCGTCACATTATTGAAAAAAGATTGAGACCTCCAAAAGCTCACACAATTCGATCTATAAATATGCGGCATGATATGTATCATTTTTTAATTTGTTATACACATAATGATGTAGATCCCAATTCTATTACCAAGTCATTGTGGGTGAATTTATGAATCTTTAGCATTTCTTCCAAATTTATTAAAAAAAAATATGGTGTATAACTTTTCTCCACAGATAAATATAAAACAAATACAAGATAATTCATTAAACTAATAAAGAAATAGAAGTAACATGAACAATCAAATTCAAAGACGTAACAAATAGATACAAAGAACATACTCACAACAAAAGGGGTGATTTCAGTATGGCCAAAAAGCAAGCCTTCTCTAGTTTAAAATTTTAAAATGACAATTTAAAAATAAAAATAAAAATTAAATTTGATCTTATATTCAACGCTTAATTTTTTAACAATCAACTTTTCAATTTAATAAATTTATCATTTTGTTTTCAGTCTTTAATTTTCATCATTCTGCCTTCAGTTTTTAATTTTATATAGCGTTTGATCTTATTTTTGTGTTTTTTTATTTTGTCAAAAATTCAACCATGCTAAAGTTTAAAAAAAAAAGTACTTAATTTAAAAAAATGAAATGCTACGATCAACAATTAAAACAAGTTAAACGAACCAAGTTTGAACAAATTTGAAAATTTGTAAAAGTTTTCAAATCAAACTTAGATAGTTAAATGGACCAAGTTTGAACAAATTTTAAAATTCATAAAAAATTTCAAATCAAACTTAAATAGTTAAAATGTTGGTAAAAGTTACAATTAAAATTTTTTTTTTTATAAGTATTTAAGAGTTTTAGTTATAAGTCCGGATTCTCTAAAGTAATATTGGAATTTTTTTTATATGACTAATATTTAATTGTACAAAAATTGAATATAAAACAATTAAAAATTAAAAGTATAACAACCATATAAATAATCACTCTAACATCATTTTTAAAAAATAAATAAATTCAAAAAAATCTCTCGTTTTGAACTATTAGGCTAATAATAATGAACCAAAATTTCTTACATAATTTTTAAAAGCCCACCGCCCCAATTATTTCACCAATCAAGTTAAAGGACAAAACGGAAATTCCAAAACATGCTAAGGGATAAATCGGCAATCCAAGACAAACCTTCCCAACCAAAACAACCAAAATTTTGGAAAATTCTATTTTCGCATACTTAATTAGCTTAGTGCGCATCTTTCTCAGTACACACACTTATTAATTTGATTATAAATTAATTTTCTCAATTGACACTGAAAGTTGCAATTATACCATTCATTCATAATCATTGTACAGACACCACTCAACTCTCTTTTTCACACACTTGTTGAGTAACCCTGCTTCCATATTTGTAGACCCATTATAGACTCACATGAATACCATTCAAGACCATAGTGTGAAGTGAAGTGAAGCGAAGTGAAGACAAAGTCCTCCGTTGAAGACCCTATTAAACTTCCATTAAAAACACCAATGAAAACCTCCAAAATATTGTTGATGATGAGACATCTTTCCATTTTGTTATTGCACTTACCATTTTCAGATCTCTATGCACTCCATTGCCATGAAATCGTCATTTTTTTTTATTTTTTTTATTTGGGAATTTTGGCACTAGCTTTCGAAATTATACATTTAATTCGAAACTTAACTTCCAAATAAAAGTGATTAGTTCGACAAATTTGTTCAAAAAAAAAAAACTTTCTGCAATTGATATTCGAATATAATGAAATAATTCGGCACTAGTTATCTAACTGAAGACCAAAAAAAAAAAAAAAAAAACTTTCAACAAAAAAAAACTAACATTTTCATCACTAATAGAGTATAAATGTAGAGATTAAAACAATATGACAGTTGTTATGAGAGTATTGCTTTACAAGTAATAAAGGAGTGTAGAGTGTGTAGCAAACAAAGTAACAACAATGGAAAAATTAAGGTTTAATTTATTTTTATTTTTTACTCAAAATGTGTACATTGAGATTTTTTTATTTTTAAAAGATATGTACAGAGAATATTTTCATATAATATTATAGGTGCTAGTGGATGTTCAATATGGTCATTTTAGTTTAGGATATAATTATCATTAAAATAATATTTCATTAAGTGTGTGCACTGAAAAAATTAAGTATGTAGAAATAGAATTTTTCAAAAATTTCTTATATAATTTCTAAAATGCCACCACCAAATTGTTTCGCCAACCAAGTTAAAAAGCAAAATAACAAATTTCAAAATAAGCTAAGGGCAAAATAGAAATAAAAAAACGAGTCACAAACAGGAAAGAGATTCTTATATATAATATCATTTGTATATGCAAAACATGATGTGTTTAGAGTTTTACATTTTAATTTTTTGATGATTTGATAAACGAAAAGGATAGATTCAATTTGATAACGGTTAATAGTTAATTCTGAAGAATTTTTTTTAAAAGGTAAATTACAAATATATTCTCTGAAATTTGTTTAAAACACGGATTATCCTCTATACTTTTGAAAATTATGAACAACACAGTTTCAAAAATTTTTATTTAACAGAATTATCAAATAAAATGAATTTGCTATTTACTATCATATATAACAATAAAATTACCTAAATTGTTAATTGAAATATATTTCTAACATTATTAAAATTTGTTAATTGATTTAATATAATAAAAAAATTATAAGCGATTAAAAACTTAAAAATGACGAAATATAATTTCCAAAACTATAGAGGACAATCCGTATTTTAAACAAATTTCAAAACGTGTATATGTAATTTGCCTTAACTTCTTTTAAGTTGGCATTTAATGATTTTTATTCATTTAGTTAAAAGCATTACACAAAACAAATCACAAAATCCAACAAAATTATGAATTTTACTACACTCACTTGTGCCTTGCCTATTGATTTCTCATTATCATGAAGAAAAAAAAAAAAAAAAAGAGGACATATATATACATATAGCATTAAAAAGTATGGCATCCAAAGTTTTTGGAGAATATGAGGAACTAATCTTCAGGCAAACAGCTTGACCACATGTCAATGGATCCATGGATAACTTAACTTGTTCTTGCATGCTTGGTAAATGGTAGTAATGTTTGTTTATATGAATGGGCCTCCACCCTCTCCATTACATAAATAGAATAACGATGTTCATTTCATGATTCATATGTGTGATTAATAGTAAAAAAAAGTCATATCAATATATCTTTATTTCAAATTCAAAATTGGCATAACCATGGACTGTTAATTTATATTTTAATAATATAGTACAACGTAGCAAAAAAAATTTTAAAAAAAAATGCATAATTCCTAAACTGGAAGAAAGAATTGCTACAAAAATCAAAATCTAACCATGCAGAGAGGTGCAAAAATCAAAATCAAAATAAAAAAATCAAGGTTGAATGACGAAAAGAGGGAAGGGGCAGTAGTGCAGTTTGAAGATGGTAGGCTGTGAAATCCCATGTGCTCATGTTCATGATTAAGTTGAAGATGAGTGGTTATGATTTAATAGATTATTGTTATCAAGTTCAAAATCTCTTAGCAAAAAGGCTAAGGTAGACTCTGCAATGTGGATTGAGAAAAAAATTCTCCCGTGACAAATTATTGAAATTTGTATCAATTTAAAACATTATTAGAGTTCAAATTTTTTTAAAAAAATTCAAAAGTTTTATTTCATATTGAAATAAAACTTGAGTTTTTTTTTTTTTTTTTTTGTGTAATTTCCCTTATTTCCATTTGGATAAACTACCAATAGATCTTAATAGTTAAACTTAATTCCCATCAAATCCTATTAAAAATAAATCCTAATAAAATTATGGCTAAAAAAAAATTTGTAACAATTTTTTACATGTCACTAGAAATTAATAATTAATGACTTTTTTATCTTATTTTTATAAATTGTCGCTGAATTATATCGAATTTTTCAAACAACCACTAAAACTTAAAATGACTCTTTTCGTGACGATTTTTGTTGCTGAAACTTATAATTAGTGATATTTTTGTGACAATTTTCAAACGGTCACTGAGAATTAACAATTAGTATCTTTTTTTTAATAATGTTTAACAAATACGCCATTAATTATCATAAAACATATTAAACAATAAGTCCACCTATTAAGATTTACACGTAAATCCCCTTTTCCATTTATAAGTATATAGGGCATCAACTCTAGTAAATTTAGTCGAGTTGTTTACCTTGTATTCGAATTACACAAATCTTAACTCTAAGGTCATGTTTGTTTGGACAGATATGTGCTTGGAATTGAACTAATAATCCAATAAAATTATTGATCCGATGTTAAAAAATTGAAGTATGGACTAACAATCTATTTAGATATGATATGTCACATATGATGGACTATTCAATCTCACGTAGGAGTGGGATATAAATTGGGGGACTAAATCAAAGTATATACTAACTTATTAAATGATCATAATAGAAATATTATAGTCAATATATTAGATGTCTCATGTCCTATCATGTCCTATCCATTCCAATCCCCTTACACAAACATCGGATTTGATAATATTTTTGTTAAACCCTAGGATATGATACATAATCCAAAAGGATTCATAATCCCAAAACTATTAGTCATGGGAATGCTAATCCAACCTATTCCAATCCGTCCAAACAAACATGGCCTAAATGTGACCAAATTTAAAATTATACTGATTTTTTTGTGTTAAACTCGAATTGCTAAGACAAGTTGCACCCCTACACATGCATAGAGTGAGAATTCAAGCTGAGACTTCGTGATCAACCACAAAATCAAGCACCCAATGGATGAGGAATGAGTCCCAATCCAATAATACTTCTTGACACCAGATTTCTCGAATGAGAAGGTGCATGCACTAGATTTCTCAATTCAGACAATCCAAAACAGATATATATGTATATATATAGATAGATAGATATACATATACCTTCACATAGAGAACATAACTCAATTTGCAAAGAGCAAACACTAACATTGCTGTAATTCTTATATTGATAGAGAAAAGGAAGCACTCAAATACTTACACATCTAAGCATATGTTTTGAAGGTTGATACCAGCACCTTCTCATTCCAGCATTTATGAACACTCATTTAGGTTTTGTCAAATGCACTCAAAGATCAAAGAGCATGGGAAGAAAGGAACATGGTTGAGCCATACCGACCCAGGTTCGTTTATGCTGCTACGGCAAATCCAACCCTCTGATTACCATAATCAAAGATGGTGTGGTAGCAACCCATGAAAACATCACCCAAGATCCTACATTGCAAAATCGCCATTAGTGTTAATTAGCAAGTTTAGAAAACACGGCTAGACAACTGTAAGATATTTAGGAAATCGAAATGGAATACCAGAGGGGTCCACGAGGAGGAGGAATGTCCAAAGCTGTAAAGCCACTAATGCATTGCATCGAGGGACCCTCACCCACCTTGAGTATGTACTGAACAAATCACCAAACGAAAGATAATTTTAGAGCAATTTTTACTTGCCAAGCAAATTACAAGGTGACAGACATGGAATAAAGTTTTAAGATTCTAAATGTCCATGTGGGGCTTACACCCAAAAACTTGCAAGTTAATGGAGACCTCAAAATTCAAACCCACACATTGAATCAGACATACGTCCATACAGATTATTTACCATCCTTTTTCCGCATTTAAGTAAAGGTAGATTGATGCTACCAGGAAAAGATGGAATTCGTAGTATTTAAAAAAACCAAAAAACACAAAAACTTTCGACTGTTAATAAAGAATTTGAAAAAAATAAATAAAAATAAATAAATTTGCCCAGAGTAACCGCCCAAACCCCACCCGTGGAATATTATTTTAAAAGTAAATATTAGCAAGAAAGATGAAACGACAACCTCAAAATAGCATAGGCCATCCTCTGACACCATCTAATCATTGCCGCTGTCACCATTTTCAAAATAATACAACACAATTTGTACACCAGTTCTAAAAGAGACCATTTGAAGAGTGAATATCACCAGTTCCACTCAACTACCATGCTGTTGGGGGTAGGGTGGGGTGGGGGGCGGGAAATGAAGAAAATAAGCTAATACAGATAAATGCGTGAACAAATTAAAGGATAAATTTATCAAAGAGATTATTATCCTATTATATAATATGATGTAATTAACTGACCCAAATGCAACAACTAATCTCCCTACATTTGTTTCAAGATAATGTGTTTTAGCTATGTGATTAATCTGACACAAACATATTACATTGCAGCAATTTATGGTATTATTAGTTACAACTCCAACAAAACGCATAATGTTCTGAATTTGATGTGTAAAGTAAACACGACAGGAAGCCGCATTACAAACTCATCTTCACGACTCCACCATTTCAGATCAGATGCAACAACAATATCAATGGATGCAGATAGCCTAATTATTATAAGAAACATTGCCTGTACTTACCACCTCTGGTGGGAGGTCAAAAACTTTACTGCCAATGGTAAAGGAAACAGTAGGCATTGAAGAAATGCTCGCACAATCAACAGCCGATTCTCCCATCGGGCTAGGAAGTCGTTCACAAAGCTAGAAGTAAATCAGAGAGTTAACACCAAGAGCGAACTAACAAACACAACAGAACAAGTCTATTTAAATTATTCAACCTCATTGACATAGGTCAATATACGATCTTGAGTCTGGTTCTGCCTAAGCTGGTTTTGCATCCACACAACTGCCATTTCACAAGCAGCGCACGTAGCATCATGTAGACCAGTAGTTCTTCCACTGTTCTTCCCATCAACTACACTCTCAATGCCCATACTGTACAAAAGGCAGTGAAGGATTAGAGTTGAAAGTGAGAAAAAACTATCTCCTAAGAACAACAATGATGGTAGTACTTTTTCCGAAATCCCATCTAGCGTGCTAATAACGGGGGCAAATTATACCCGTAGTCCCTGTAGTTTGCGTCTCGTGTCAATTTGGTCTTCATAATTCTAATTGTTTCAAAATTTTACATTTGAATTTTTTTATGTTGTGTCAATTTAGTCCAATTGTTAAAGCATATTTTAGAAATTGAACTGAAATTGAAGGGTGAAACAGTCCATTCACTCTCCTCAAAGTGATTGAGCGGTTGACGTCCATTTTGAAATGGTTTATTCCCTTTGGAATGGACAATTTAGCCCTTGATTTCCATCAAATTCCTTAACAAATGTTATCGATGGGACTAAATTGACAGTGTAAAAAATTAAAAGGCAAAATTGATACAATTGAAATTACAAAGACCAAAATGACACGAGACATATCACAAGAACCATTGATATAATTTGCCCAAGTAACAAAGTAAACGAAGTGAAAGACTAAGCAGACCACCAAAAGATTATAACGGAGCAGACTGGAGCCTAACCTGACGCTTTGAGTTCCATCAAAGGCACATAATCCAATTTGAGAGCATATCTTCTCTGGTTGTGCCTGTTATAAGCAGAGCACATCAAAATCAGGACATGCACTAGTAAACCACATTCTCATAAGGAAAAAATTACACCTTCTAGGCTTATAGCAAAGACAATAATCTAATAGCAAATGAAGAGGCAAATATAAAAGAAGCTAAGCGTTACCTCTGCTACAAGCAAGTCCATGATTGTTTGCCCATACTGTTCAACTACCGACTTGCATTGCTGGCTAACAACTCCTGAGGCTCCAATAGCATGATTTATCATGGTGATCACAGGCTGCACATGAGAATGAAAGAGAGAGAGAGAGAGAGAGAGAGAGAGAGAGAGTAATGCATCAGGAATGCATAATATCTGGGGAGCCCGTGCAGTAGCAATTGTCATCTGGTATACATACAAACCACAACTGCCCCTTAAACGACACACATAGCTGGTTACTAACTTGTAGACAGAAAGAACACAACCTAAAGTCTATCACAGCAATCAATTTAAGGATCACAAAACACAATGATATATACAAGAGTGCTAATCCTTTAAATGCTCCGACTTGTAGACAGAAAGAATAGAGCCTAGATTCTATTACAGTAAAGGAGTGATAATCCTAAAACACAATGTCATATACAAAAGTGATAATCCTTGAAACGCACAGACTTGTAGACAGAACGAATAGAGACTAGATTCTATTACAATAAAGGAGTAATAATCCTATAATTGTACTATCCAACACATCTCCCATCGTTTATACCCGGGGGGGTTCAAAAAAAAAGAAAGAACAAAAAGATACCAAAGAGATACTAAATATGTTGAATAATATCTGAAAATATATGTATGTTGTGACGCCCCTAATTTTGATAATATAATATAACGATACACCGGGGTTTAACTAGCGGACACGCATCATTTTTTAGCACAAAATACAGATAATTACACTAAAAGAAAATATTAGTTACAGATAAAATTCTTCAAATCTTTAAATACAGATCAGTTCCTTGATACAAAAAGATTATCCAAAATACAGGAAATATAAAATCTAATCTCTAAGGCAGCCATGGTTCCGCAAAGCTTTTAGGGGTTCCGTTCTGAGTGTAAAACTTGCCTTCACCTGGCATAAAATGCCATGAGCTTGAAATGCCCAATAAACACACACACCCCGACCCTTTTCCCATTTCAAATACACAAGTAATATAACAGCACGATCATAACATACAGCGAAAGCAATAATTAAGCAGAGCTTATAATTAAATTTCAGTTCTCATGAATAATAGTTAATTTTAGTTAGTTCTAGGCAACTCCCCGCAGAATGCCGTTCCTACCTAACCACTAACTCTGACCACGGGCAATTCTGACTCCCCCTTAATACAATACCAATGCGTCGCTTACCGCACAATTACCAGTGATGCCCACGCACCTAGGTTACATACCCGAGTGGTGACATCATGGTCTGCCCCAAAGAAATGGGCTTTCCAGGGATACTCTCCCTGTGTGAGACCCTCACTGCCAGCCTTATGCCCCTCATTTCTATTAAGCAGCCAGAATACCTCCCGTGCCATGTTAGGGTTCGAAAACACACATGCGCAAGACTTCACAAAAATGGAACACATTCCACTATATCATACTCTTGAATCCATCATTCATTATCTCATCAAATTTAATACAATGATCGCAACCCATTACCATCCCATTTGATTTTCCCTTTATTAAGGGCATTATATTCTCAGTTATAGCAAAGCATGGTCAGTATAATTACGAATCCAAACTAAACAACAAGTAATTTATTCATGGTAAAGCAAATTCACAATTTATCATAGATTACATATCGAGGCTAAAACATTCAAGACACAGAATATAAGAGTTGCAAAACCAAATAAGAACATATTAACACAAACTTCCAGATTTCCAAATTTGAACCAGTTTGAAAATAATTATGAAAAAAATACTTTTATTGGCCCTAAGTACCTGGCCTCATGTGAGTTTGTAGATAAACAAGTCTAGTTTCAAACTCAATTTACAAAAGTAGGATAGGTATTTTAGATTTTAAGATAATTCAGAATTACCAAGATCTGTCCAGCTTTGTTGATCGTTACACAAATCGATTTTTCTCTCGAAGCCCTCACTTTCTTGAGTTCAAACAAATTTTAGTTAAAATATAACACCAAGATTAACATTTTAACATAAAATTGGGCTCAAGATTATTTTTTTGAAATTTTCTAAAAATAAAGAAAGTTGACTGTTTTTCTCGTTCTGCGAGTAACAAACTTAGAAAAATTATTTAGATAATAAAAATACATCCTTAAGACCTACCAAAATTACCACATACTCTAGACATACCAAATATTAGACCATAAAAACAGATTTTGAGTTTATGGAGTTTTGATAGGAAAATAAATTCAAGAGGGGGAAAAGATTTGCTGCTCGAAATTTAAGAAAGAAAGAGAAGCACAACATTTCTTGATTAATACACATTTATACAAGAGTGTAGGCCTAGACTACAACAAATATATACAAATAGCATGTATTAGGAGGGGAAAAACAAGTGGTAAGAGAACTTGAGAGAAGAAGTGATGTATGTTTACCTTTGTTGTACAAGACTCAACAAAATTCTTCTTTTTCTTCTTCTCTTCTCTCTCTCTCTTCCTCTCTCTCTCTTTTTCAAGATCACTCTCTCTCACTCCTCTAGTGCATGGCTGAAAATGTGTAAATGAGGGAGAAGAAGTGTGCACATATATATAGAGAAAGGATTTGGAAGTTTCTTAGGGGCCAAGTTCCACAGGTGCAATTTGTCAAAGTTGCCATCAAGGCCCTTTCATCCATCACATGATCAACAACTTGGGCTCCAAGAATTATATATATATATATATATGAGATATTTGTATTTATAAACATAATATAATAGGTACAAGTACATTAATTAATAAAATATTACAATTAAGGGTTGGAATGAAATAAATAGAAGTATATGGGGACCAAGTCTAAATTTATGAAACCTTGATATATGTTATTAGTATACTAACATTAGAAAATAGTTAAAATAATAAATTCGGGTCCTGTTAAATTAAAGAGCAAACAAAGGTGAGAAACCGAGCAAAAACGGCATTACCGGGAATTAAAATTTTAGAGTGATTAATATATAATGATAGGGTCTAATAATTAATAATATGGTTTTAAAGGTGATTATTAATCTATAGGATCGATTAGGGTTTACTCGAATTAATCCGCGATACTTCCCGATTCTAGGGTTTAAAACGCAATTGAGCAAAAATTCAAGGGCTTTATTGAAATAAACTCAAGGTTAGGGATTTAATGGACTTTCAAAAATTAGGATCTCTACATATGTACTGTAAAAGGATGAAATATAGATGAACTAGAGATACATCTGATCCCTTCTCGCAGACATTCAAGGGACATCAGCTGTCAAAATGTTGTCCTAGAAGAATTTCTGAGAAACAGAAAATAAAAATGATTAAGATCTCAGCACCCATCCATACCGTTGGACCAGCTAACAAAGAAGTTCCAGAATCAGCAATTGCAGAACAACCAGTACCACAGTACCCTGAGAGAGATAGATAGAGAGAGACAGAGAGTGAATTAAAAGTATAATGTTAACAGGACACAAGCATATAACCATCATGAATACATCTATGCATAAACAGTAAATTTTCCAAATTTTTGGTTGTGAAGAATATTATTAGGCACCAAGAGGAGCATACCAGTTGGTTTACCACCAATGAGAATGTCACCCATATCGAACTAGCACAAGATAATAACAAAAAAAATGGTAAGAGAACAAATTAAATCAAAATGAACGTGATGGTAGACAACACAAAGTACAATTATGTGGATTACCAACCTGCCAATAACCTTTCCGCGTCACTGGGACATATGTGTGCTTACCCTTGTAGTGATTTGGATCAACCCCACCGAACACAAGTTCGCCCCCTACTTCTTCTTTTGTATTTCGGTTAAGCCAAAATGAAAATACAGGCTCCCTAACAAGACCTTGTTTCACCATGTTGTACCTGCAACATATGCAACAGTCCCATCTCAAAAAATAAAATCACGGCCTTCTAACAATTGCTTACGTGGACTCGGTACGTGTCTAGTCTGGGTATGTGTCTACGTGTCGGATTCATCTAATCCCATGTCCAAGAACACGGGGACATAACAAAATATAATATTTCTTAATATCTTTAATTTATTTCTAATGGTATAATGGTGTACATAAGGTGCCATAGAACATTTCATGCATAATATGGAGATTTTATGCATAGCTTTATGGTTAAATCTAATTACTAAATATGCTTGCTAGGTGAATGTCGAACTACCCATGTCGAACATACATCCCATAGCCATACCTAATTATCGAGTATACAACATGGGCACTTGGTACATTTAGAAGAGTCCATGTAACATGAGCCACGATCACAATCAAACAAACAACAGTACAGACTAGTTGCTGGCCTTAAAATTGGTATATGAGACATCGACACACACATGAAAACACAAACTCACAAACAGACAGCGAGCATTATGAAAGCTAAACTACGCATTTTAGTCTGAAAAAGTATCAAAGATGAACAAACATACCACACTGGGACAGAATCTCCAACTGAGATCTCACGGAATCCAAGACCAAGAATACCATCAAACTTGGCGACCAAAAACGTGATACTGGGCTCCCTGGTTGCCTCAATAAATTCCTGACAAGGTAAAGTACGAGTATAGAAAATTCCAATTGAAATATTAGATCATCAAACCAAATCCTTTTAGAAATTGGATTTCAAAATGAGCGTTTTCTTTGTTTAGTTTCATCTGGAATTGTATGGGAAAAAATAATGTAAACAAATACCCCAATTGCATTGATAGTTAAAAATTTGAAGATAAAATAAAATAAAAAAGAAGAAGAACAAGAGACAAGACAAACAAACAAAAAAAACAGGGCACTATGGGTAACTATATTAGATTAGGTTTTGTTAATTCTAATTCTCATGAAATCCAACCATCTTTCATGGGATTTGAAGATGACAATTTTCCGTCCAAATGACACCAATTTAAATTCCATCCATACCAAACATTCAAAATACCATTTTCAAATACCAATTCAATCAAATTCCAACATTCCAAACACATTGTACCTGACTCTTCACAACTAGGTCACCAACTTGGACATGGTCTTCACTGAAAAATCCAGATATAGCCCCGGTACCATAGTGAATTTCAGCAGATTTCCCTGCACAACAAATGGTTGTAGAAACTTCTCAAAGGCCTTTACCAGTGGTTGAACAAAGTTAATCCACAACATCCATGCAGTGAATATCATAGCCTCATTATGCATAACTACACAATGCAAAACATACTATTGTATCACACTTAAGTTATATAACTAATTGCCCTTATTTTGGGTAAAACAAAGCTATCCTTGCTATTAAGAAGCACGAATACAAACATAGGACATTGATGTGGACACGATACTGAGGTGCCAACACGATAATTTTCAAAAAGATCAAGACACAACAAGGCAGGGACAGCACCAAAATCTGTTTTAGAAAGCTCTCTGTTCCTAAACAAATTTAAAGTTTTAAGTTTTAGAATACCTAAAATTAAAAATTCTAAAAAGGAGGAGGGATTGATAAGTATAAAAATAAAAACAAAAAAACAAATCTAAACCCAACAAGCAAAAGAAACAGGAAATGGATAACTAAGCATATAAATCTATAAAAACTTTTGATAAACAGGGACAGAAAACAAACCATTCTTGTTGTAGGTACTTGATTGGCTTGACTTGTACTTGGAATGGAAAAAACACGGAACCTGAAATTTCGCATGATTCATTATATCTTAGTAAGCATTTAATGGCTCAGCAATGATGAATCTCATTTAGTTTTACATAACGCAAACATGTAGTGACCTACCGACAAATAGCACTTTGATGAAGGCACCCACAAATTAGAGCTGCCAGTGTCAAAGATTACAGTAAATTTTTGTGGGGGAGTACCAATACCAATCTCCCCAAAGTACTGAGCATCCATGTAATTTTTCAGTGCTACGATATCAGATTCCCCAGCTTCACCCAGATTACCATGGTGATTATACTTATTAGTAGAAGCTTTCAGCACTTCCCGTTCCTTGGACTCAAGCCGAGCAGCAAGAAGGTTGTTTTGATCAATTTTTATCTTTTTCAGTCCAATTCTAACCAGGCCATCATTGGGTGCAGAAAACACCAGAGGCAAAACCAGGGATGACAAGAACAAGGACACTACAACAGCTTTCAATCCGATGCCCATATTGACCTACAAAGCATCTCTCAATGTTTAGTTCATGAGAGACAATGAAACAATTGAACCAATCATATCCACCCACAGCATCAAACATTGCAAGGAAATTGACCAATGTGGAAACAGACAGATAACTTAAAACTGATGGTCATGCATCACAAATTAGGTGCTACAAAATGATATTGTAATTTGCTTTCTGAGAACATTATCATATTAATGTTCTGTTTTTCAGTTACAAAACCCCCATCCCTCCCCCCAAAATAAACTGCTAGAAAAGAGAATTTAAAGGTGTCAAGGGATTTTAATTTGTCATCAAGCTTTACAACCAAGCCTTCATCATGATAATCAAAATTATCAATATATATATGAATCTATATTATTAATTAATATATCATGTGAATCCACCACCACTATGGTGTGAACACTTTTTTAAGTCCCCTCACACTTTTTTTCGTGTTTCCAAAACACCCACACAATTTTGACAGGCGTTTGTTCTTCCTAAAACGACAGTAAAAAACATTTAATATTCATTCCCAATACAATTAATTAAACAAATCCCACATTCCTACAACAGTCTTCCATTTCTAAACACACGCGGCAAGTGTGTCACAACTTTTATGTATCTATCTATCTATATATATTATTGGTGGGTGCAAACACAATGCATTGAAAATTGTACATCTAAACTTTCGAGCGGTTTACGGAATGAGGATTGAATAAAAAAACTGTTAGTTACTTGATGTGGAGTTTTAGCTGTTACCAATTTTAGGGGCATTTTGAATAAACAAAAAAAGCATAACAAAGCTTCTGAATTGTGTGCTTTACATAATATAATAGATAGATATAATAGGTATAAAAGAAACCATTTTCCTCAGAATTTAAGGAACCTATGGAAAAATTCTAAGGCTGAGAAAACTGAGGAAAACAAAGAAAAACGAACAGAATTTCAAATTCAAGCAATTTCTAGCATAAAAATAAAAACCAATCTCAAAAATTCTGCAATACAAAGAGCTATACTAAACCCTAATCGATTCTTGTAATAGAAAAACACAATAATTAAATACATCACAACAATTGCATTGCACGCATTGATCAACCACAATCCAAAACTAAACCCAAAGCCTCACCATTTAAAAAAAAAATTAAAAAACAGAAAATTGAACGAGAACAATAAAAATAAACATCAAACACCAAAATGATCATAGATTGAAACATGCATGTTATTAGAGAGAGAGAGAGAGAGAGAGAGAGAGAAATTCATCTGTGAAGTGATTCATGCAGGAATCAACCAAAAACTGTTCGATTATGTAAAGAAAGAAAAAAAACGCAAAATTCATCAACAACTCACCAATGCGACTACGAATTCGAAGAACAAAATGAGATTTGAATGAGTACAATGAATACAGAGGAGTATATATATACATATATATATATATGTGGGTGTGTATGTATATATGTATTTGGAGAGAGAGAGAGAGAGAGAGAAAGAGAGAGACCCACCAGGCTAAGCTTACCTTCGAAGAGTTGGTGCCTTTTTTTTAAGTTCATTATTTATTGCGGATTTTAAAGCTTTTTAATTAGAAAGAGAGAGAGAATCGAATTAATCCTGACCGTCCAATCTTCTGCTACACTTTTTCTTTTTTCCGTTGATTTTAGATAAAAAAAGATCGCTGTCACGATATTCTCGTTTCAGGGGGACGCTATCGAATCGCACAGGAATGGGTAAAGGCTCGTTTAAAAAAAAATTTTTTTTTTTTTTTACTTTCAATTTTTTTAAGTCATATTATTTTTTTATTTTTTTTATATATCTTTTTAAGAAAAATTTAAAAAAATCAATTTTTAATCTATTTCTCAAAATATCCTTAAATATTTCGTCTTAGAAATTTTTTTTAAAAGTCTCTAGTATTAAGGACTCGTTTGGCATAATCTAAAAAAAATAAAAAAGTCAAAAAATTATTCAAAAAGTTAAAAAATTATCATTATTCACCAAAAAAAAATATTAAAAAATTAATTTTTCACAAATTCATACAACTCAAAACCATTCCTACTTTTCGGCTGTGCAGCGTTGGACAGAAAAGTAGGACAGTTTGAGGCAATTTTAACACACTGTTGTTCAGCCAGTGGGGGTCTATCACGGGTCCCGTTTTGATAATCTAGACTGTCAATGTGTAAAACTCGTCGAGTACTATATGTCTATGAAAAATCACATTGATCGGATATCGATAACTATATGATCAAATCAGTTTTGTATGAAAAAATGGATGGTGTTATAATTAACTATTGAAAAGAACAAATCTGATCAGATAGCTATCGATATCCGATCAACGTGATTTTTCATAGGCATATAATGCTCAACGAGTTCTACACAGTAACGGTTCAGATTATCAAAATGGGACCTGTGATGGCCCCCACGGGCCGAACAAAATAGTCCACTGCAATGTCCGAAAAGTACCCAATAATTTCTTGCATGAATTCAGCTGACAGAGAAGTACAAATGTCATTCACTCATCTCCAATCTTCTCTTACACCCTTCTTTATACAATTTTTAATACACATTTTTTCATAAAAAGTCAAAAAGTTGACCCAAATATTTATATTTTTTTTCCTCAACTTTTTAGTCCAAAAAGACAAAAAGTACACTTATTTAGGACACTCCAAACAACCCCTAAGATTTTATATCATAAAAGACATTTAATATTTTCATAATATCTAAGGTCTCTCAATATCGATCTAGAAAAAATTTGATCCAGACTTTTCACTCTTCAGAGAAATTCCTAACTTAAGCCTTCATCATCTTCTTTCTCTAGAGAAATTCTAAAAAGTCTAGAGAAATTTCGTTTCAGAGAAATTCTGGACTTCTTAGAGAAATTCCTAATTTAAGCCTTCATTATCTTCTTTTTCTAGATAAATTTCTAACTTAATCTTTTATTATTTTCTTTCTCCAGAGAAATTCTGGGAATCCAGAGAAATTTCTCTCATGAGAAATTATGGACTTCCCAGAGAAATTTCTAACTCAAGCCTTCATCATCTTCTTCCTCCAGAGAAATTTTGGGAATTTAGAGAAATTCAAGAAATTTCTCTGGACTTCCCACTCTCCAAAGAAATTTACTATTCTCCATTTGAAATACTGATGGGTCGTTACACACACCAAATATAAACACAAAACTATACCAAATTCTTTTAGAATAATGGTAAGTCCAAGTATCAATCCACATGGACAATTGTGAAATTAGATTAATTTAATCGTTAAATTCCTGAATTAATTTTGATTAAAAAGATTGAGAGATTTTATGACTAAAAAGGAATTAAATGAAATTGAGAAATTAAATTGACAATTAAAATTAGGGTTTGAGATATTAATTTTTGAAAAAAATCATAGGGCAAAGAATTTACCACTAACCGTATAAACGAGATTAAACATCGGCTATCAATTGCAATCTGGTTTGAAATATCCAATATTTCACAACTACAAGTTTGAAACATTAATCAAGAGGGTTGTTGCATTCAACGTATAGGCACGAGTCATCCCGAGTAGCATGAGGCGTTTGCTCTAAACTACGGTAGCAACACAACCCGTCTTTCGTAGCTTGACTTGTCTCTTACTTTGAACACAAATACAAAGAAAACTAATGTATGGAAAGTATTAAACAATCACAAAGAGTAAAATACTTGAAGAGATAAAATGAATAATTGTTATAAACTTCTAAAATATCCATACATTGATTCAAACCGAATCATAATCAGAGCATATGAAAAATCCTATTACATGACTAGGGTTTCATCAAAACCTTAGAAAAAAATAACCTAGCCACGCATGGAGAAGTGGGAAGAGGAAGAGGATGAGGAAGAAGCTTCCATGGAAGCTTCCTTCAAGCTTGAAGAGGAATCCCCTTTTTAAAACCCTAGCCTCTCTTTCCTTAGAATAAATTTCGAACCCTAGGTTAGCTTTTTTTTTCCTTTTATTCTCAGCAAAACACACCCAAAATTCTGTGCATGCATCCCTAGGTGGCCCGCTTGAGCGCCCATGTGGGCTGCTCCAGCGGTGGTGGGCTGCACGTGCGGTGAAGCTTGGTCGCACGTGTGGTTTTCTGGCTGGCTCAGATTTTTCACTTCTCGCACGAAGGATCTACTTTCATGCCCTTTTTGATTGAATTTACGTATTTTCTGCCAAATCTGTACAAGTACACGTAACACATCATCTCCACCAAATAAACAAAATTGAAAGATTAAAATTTAACTTAAGTGGCCTCAATGTGGTATCTTTCAAACTACATCAAATACCTGTATGTTTACCATTACAATGGCCCAGAAAGTGAGAGAGCTTTACAGTAATGGCGTTTTACGGAGACGAAGATGAGGTGTGGAAATGTCCATAACACCTTTCGAATAATCAGATTAAATTCCTCAAAATAATCAAATTAAACAAATAAACAGAAGTCAAATTCAATTGCTTTAAAGTAATAGAACGAACAATTGACCTTTTAACACCATAAAACGCAAATATACACATCTAAACACACATAAAAACTCAAAATCAAGACCTAGATATGTCCAAATTTCAAAATTTTCTCAATTAATTTGCAAACAAACCTCATCCTCTGCATTGTAGTGGTGTTTATAGATTGATTGAAAGAAATGATATTACTCCAACAGAGGATTGAAGTCACCATCCTGATCGGAAGTGAAGGCCATGGCGGCACGGTGAAGGCCATCGAGCTCGGTCCGAATGGCTTTGTGGAAGAACAAAAAAAGCAAAATTAGCGACCTAAGAGACGAGTTCTTGACACAGGGCTTGTTGGACTAATCAAGCTGGTTCACAGGACCCCCCATTAAAGCTACACAACCATCCTTGTGTTGAAGACTCGTCAATTGTGTCACCATTATATATTAAAATGCGCAAAAAGAGAAAGGATCATATTGTGGTTGTAGATTCAGATTTCACAACATCTAAATAACTCCACCAGATTTCATCTCTATGTCTCTCTCTCTCTCTCTCTCTTTCTCTCTCTCACAATTCGCTGCGATTCCGTTCTTCTGTCCTCAATTCGTCAGAGTCAGCAACAAGCATCCAACGCTAAGAAATCGGAGCAGCTCATTGATTTGGTCTGTGTTCACGACGCACAAGAACAAGAGAGAAAATGAAGAAGCGAAGAGGAAGGAAATCGAAACAAAGGATGATTATGCATATCGGATGATGATGATGAGACCAAAATCGATGAGTTGATTTGAGAGAGTCAAATTTCTCTATGATATATGGGTGTGGGGTTGAGCGACTTTAGATATCATAAAATAATATTGTGAATCTCTTTCATTACTAAAAATGAGAGAGGGATCTTAGACTAATTTTCTCTTCATTTTATATATATAATGAGATTTATTTTTAAAAAATAAAATAAATTTTACGGATTGACTCATGTTGGACTTTAAAAATTTATTCAAACTCAATTCATTATATAGATCAAAATTAAATATATTTTAAAATTTGTTAAATTTTTGAAGTCATATTTGAACAGCTAATTGTTCGTTCGGTTTAATTCAATAAATCTAAAACTATATTTAAAAAAAAAAAAAGGACTTTTTTGATAAATCCACTTTCTAAGAGCTTTATTCCATCCAACCCATGTTCTTTTTGACTATTCCATTAGGTCTTATTTGAGATAAGAAGACCAAAATACCTTTTTTATCTACTTATGTTCCATTTAGTTCACATTATTTTCTTATGTTTCAATAAGTCCTATGGGTGATATAATTACCAAAATACCCCTAATGTGAATGTTCAGACTGTCAATGTGAATGTTCATATCGTCAATGTGTAGGCGCCCAGCCCATGTCGATCCTCGTGGGTGCCCGGAAAAACTTGAGTCAGGCCGGGGCGAGCCCGGCCGATTGACAATGTGAATATTCACATTGACATGTTAACATTCACATTAATAGAAGTGTAAAATTGGCCCACGTCCCGTGGCGGCGCGAAACCCGCCCGCGGTCCATGGGCGGCCCGTTGACAATGTGAATATTCACATTGACATGTCAACATTCACATTGATAAGAGTACAAAATTGGTCTGCGGCCCATGGGCGACCAAAAGCCCACTCGCGGCCCGAGGTGGGCCTGGCCCGGCCCGGCCCATTGATAATGTGAATATTCACATTGACATGTTAACATTCACATTAATAGGAGTGTAAAATTAGCCCGCGCCTCGTGGCTGCCCGAAACCCGGCTCGACCTGTTGACAATGTGAATATTTACATTGACATGTTAACATTCACATTGATAAGAGTATAAAATTGGTCAGCGGCCCAGGGCGGGCCCAACCCGGCTCGTTAACAATGTAAATATTCACATTGACATGTTAACATTCACATTGATAAGGGTATAAAATTGGCCCGCAGCCCGTGGGCGGCCCGAAACCCGACCGCAGCCCAAGGCGGGCTTAGCCCGACCCGTGACAATGTGAATATTCACATTGACATGTTAACATTAACATTGATAGGAGT